GGGCCGATTCCGTCCACCTACAAATTTCCAACATTTTCAGTGTGTCAGAGACAGCCCGCCGTTTCAAGTTCTCAGATATTCCAAATCATTATGATGCACATCTTGAAAGAATTCGGCAGACATCGCTAGGATTCGAAAGTAAATTTACCATTCCATAAAAATTCTTGAAGATAGACAGCTTTCACTTGATTAACTTGTTCTAAATATTAATGAAAGCGACTTGAATAAAATATCATATGCATGGTTGTTTCAATAAGGGCGAGTTGAGTTGAATACAAGTAGAATAAAAACAAGCATTCAAGTTTTTGTTGAAATAGTTTCTTCAGATGACAACCGTCCGCCAAAAATATCCAACAGATACATATTACGTCGTGTAAACCCGAAATTGGTGAATGGAAACCCCTTTATTTTAATATCAAGTAGAAAGGACTAAGTCGTGCGTTATGTGCAAATGATAAGACTCACTGTAAAGAGCCTTAAAATAAGCGTGAAGTCAAACAATTGTTATTCTAGTAATTATTTTTTTATTAGAAACCCAAAATTGGTCGGCCTTGAGTAGTAGCTCTTTATGATCAGTACTATATTTCCTAATAAATAGGGTTTACATGACCAACATAATAATTTTGTTAAGTCTCTGACTACCGCTCAATCAGTTAACTAAGAAAAACTTTTATATATATATATTATATTTTCTTTGCTCGGTGCAGGTCAGTGCTTGAAGTCATTATCTACTTGTCTCTTGTTCGCGATACAGTCACAGTCGGTTTTGCTATACTTACAATATACTCTTCCAACATGTTGCAACAGAAAGTATTATCATTTCTTCACCAAATGGTTGTTCTGGAACAGATTAAAATAATCGAAAGGATATAGATTTATCCATACTAATATAAAAAGTCAGGATGTTACTAAACGTTAAAATTGTACCCAAAGTGTGAAAAATCTCCTAAAAATGCTCGTACATCGGTGTGCTCGAATATTATTTATTAAAGAATGTACTACGACTTTGAGAACATTATATATATAACTATCTACAACAACTGACGGGACAACAATATCTAATGTTATAGTTACGTCACAGTAAGTGCCTTTTAAGTAAAAGCTCATTTTTGAAACCTTAGATTAATGCTTACAAATTAAATTACTTCGTATTCAAGATCCGATACCTTTATAAAACTTTTTGAATATAATTCATTCGGAAATTACTATTAATGTAAGTATTAGAAGACCGCTCGCGCTATGCTGCACATTAAAATATGCGAATTGGAGTCATGGGGCACGGAAGCGAGTAAAGTCAAGGAATAAAGTGCTGCATGGTGCACTCGAGGAGTTAGCTCCCTATAAAACGGTAGTGTCGGAATAGAATATAAATAATACAAAGTTCAATCTTCATATCTCATTATCTTATGGGGTGCTATTCCCCAAGTACAAATAAATAAGTCTAAAAGTCCAATGTTCATATATATCTCTTTGTTTTATGGAGCCCTTTCCTCCAAGTGGGATAGCAAAACGAGTGATATGCTAGTATATAACTATATACGTATTAAATCAAGGTGACATGAATTCCGAGTAAACCTGCCTGTCCGTACATCCGCCGCTCCCTCATCCGTTCGTCTGTCCTGCAAGCATAACTTGAGTAAAAATTCAAATATCTTAATGAAACTTGGTACTCATATTCATTGGCATCCTGGGAGAATCCTGTTGCAGATCAGCGAATGAACTGTATATGATGTTCTACATTCATTGAATAGTGTTTCACAAATATGTGTATGTATATCTCCATATCTTAAGTAAATGCTTGAAGACTGCGATCTGCCAGATTTTTCTAGATATTTCGGTAAAACAAAACTAGAGATTTGTAAGCATCGTGCAGAGGTCGGAATATACTATCAAATGCTGGGAAACCATCAAAATGATATGTGGTAAATAGTTAAACCTTTAATGTTTTCGGAAGTCCTTTCTTATACT